GCTGAAGATTACCAAAGGGATGCGGGTTCGCTTCTGCTCCTGTTTAAGTACTTGATGGAAAGGCTTGCAAAGAGGAAAGAGGTTGAAGAGGACTCTACATCAAGTGGGGTGTAGGGTCTTTACTTTTGTTGGTTTCCCAGATGTCGCTTTGTAGACATCGTGCATTTCCTTCTTGAACGGCTCGAAGAACCGTTTGCAAACATCAAAACAGCTCAAATTCAACCCCAATGAACAACAGACTGGCGAGGGACAGGAAAAAGGGACGAAGGAGAAGCATTGCAGGGTCCCCCTTTGACACATCATCTCGCAGAGGCGGCCTGTTGCCTACCGCTTGCTTTGGTACGATCGGCGAGGAGCTGCCGCAACCCCATCCTGTCATCAGCGAGTCGCAAAGCGTTGCCTCGGCTTAGGAACCGGGTCCCAGCAGTCCAGGTGCCTTTGACTTTCTGGTTGCCTGCGCCTCAAGCCCTCTGAGCCTTGCAGGTGCCGGAGGCCTTTATGTGTGGCGACCAGTTCCTCCCAGTGATTTGTACGTCGCACTAGGCCTTGTGTGAATTGCACCTGACCTGGGAAAGATGTGTCGGGCGCGTGCGGTTTTGTTCGAAAGGAGCGGTTTGCACCACGGACTCCTCGGAGCCGCGGGGCGTGGATGTGCGCTGCGTTGGAAGCTCAGAAATGGGTGTGGCTCAAAATCAAACAGCAGGGCTTACGCAGGTTTTGGTCCATGTTTCCACCTACCAGGGTTCCATTTTGTTACCGGTTTGTTGAGCCACAGCCAAGTCGAGACGCGCCTGGCAGAGATCTCATTGCTTAGGTTCCACGCGCCTGGCTGGTCAGAGGAGATGGCTTGGGCTCGACCCTGTGGAGCTTGGGTGACCGGTAGCATTCCCAGACGGTTGGAGATGACCTCAATCGGCTTGAGTGACGTCCACTTGAGGCACGAAGTGAAGGTGCAAGAGCAACTGGGTGCCAGACTCATGTGTCAAGAGGTATCTCGTGAGAGAGTGATTTGGCACTGCCAGGCGGAGTGATCGCATGCCCGACTGAGAATATCAGATATCTACCCAGCTGGGCATTTATATCTGACAAATTCTTTGTGGGAACATGACGAAAGGCCGCTCGGGCGAGCGTTTCTTCCAGTAGCATGCCATGCCACGGCTTCAGCAAGAGCTTGCCCAAGACGCGAGCTGATTTCTGCAGCCATTCTGCACTCGTCCAACTGCTGCCATGGCCACACCCTTTTGCCCATGCGGCACAGGCACAACAACCTCGGCACATCCGGCACGCATCTCCAACGCCCACGGCTGGGCAGGTATCTTGCGTCCGGATAAAGAGTGGCCCGATACTCAGCTCGCTTGGATCCAGAAGGGGCTGCTTTGTTCGCGCTGACGTGCATGTCATAGCTCCGCAACCTGCATGGGGCTTCAGGACTCTTTGCCATTTGGAACGCGCAGTGCCAGAGCCGCTTTGAAATCCTACGTGCATGCCAGTATAGAGCAGGATGAACTTTCAAGGGCTTCAGCCATTTTGTGGTAACACTACCCTTTAATTCCCTCAAGGATACTTTGAATTTGTGACACACGTGGCAATCACTGACATTGTATAGCTTGCTTACCTGCAAATGCCAAGCTTCTTGAACCACACACGTTGATTTAGTTTCTAAGCCAAGCCATGAGCTTTGTCTTTGAGCTTCAAGAGCTGGGCTGTGGCCTGAACTTCAGCTGTAGGGGGATGCCGTTATGACCCTGGATCTGCACGTCTCAGGGCTGTCAGGGTGTCTCTGTACTGTGACTGCTGGATACACTTGGGTTGTGAGCGATGTGAAGGCCGCCATTGAACATGCCACCGGCATTTCAAGATGGGAGCAGCAATTGCTGGCCGGCACGCGCGAGCTGGCCGATATGAGCCCTTTGTCTGGCGAAGTACTTGATCTGACGCTGATTCGGAAACAGCTGGAGATGAAAGACTGGCTAAGCTTGATCCAAGAGGAGCCTCAAATCTTAGAGCATTCAGCACACTGGGTGAAAGAGTGTCGAACCATAGTGCTTGAGGCCGTGAAACAGGACGGCCAGATGCTTCAACACTCCAAGTTGTGTGATGACCACGAGGTTGCTTTGGCTGCTGTTAGTGACTGCGGTTTGGCGCTAGCACACGTGTCTGCATCTTTGCGCAATGACCGGCAAATTGTTCTTGCAGCAGTGCAAGAAGCGGGATGCGCTCTTGAGTTTGCTTCAGGCAAGCTGAAAAACGACGCTGAAGTGGTACTGGCAGCTGTGAGAAAGGATGCAAGCGCACTGCAGCATGCATCGAGACAGCTTCGAGAGGATCATCGCTTTTTGTTGGCAGTGATCCGGCGCAACAGCCAGGCCTTTAGTCTTCTGCCGATTCAATGGCAAAGTAGCCGTGAATTCGCACTTGAGGCTGCAGAGCAAAACGGGGATGTCCTTGCGCATATGCCTGAGGCGTTTCAGTCTGATAGAGACATCGCAAGCACTGCCGTGCGCCAAAATGGTCTAGCACTCCGGTATACTCCGAGCTCATTGCGGGATCTGAAGCTCGTGCTGGAGGCGGTTACTGAAAATGATGCTGCCCTTCAATACGCCGGAGAGTTCCAAGCACAGAGGGAGGTCATTCTGAGTGCCATCAAGCCAGAGGGTGTTGCACTGGCTCTTCAGTACGCGTCCCCAGCCCTACTTCACGATGAGAGCTTCTTGCTGGACGTGGTGCAAAAAAATCCGAGCGCGCTGCTGCACTCGTCAGCTGAATCTTTGCATGGATGTCGTAGATTCATTCTGGAGGCTGCTCACCGAAATGGGTCCATTCTATCTCATGCTTCTCCAGACTTGCAAGCCGATCGCGATGTGGTTCTGACTGCAGTGAAGCAACACAGCGCGTCTTTCATGAATGCAGCCAGTGGTTTGCGATGCGATCCCTGCTTTGCTCTGGAGGCTGTAGCTGTGAATGGGCTGTTGCTTGAATACCTGTCTTCAGACCTGTGTTCTGATGCTACAATTGCGAAGACCGCGGTACAGCAGAACTGGAAGGCTATCCGATTTGTGCCAGCTGCACTGCGTAGCAATCGTGACCTGCTGATGTCAGCAGTGCAGCAAAATGCCCTTGCATTGCGCTATGGCACTGGGGATGCTGTAGATGCTGCCGTGAGCCTTGCTGCTGTATCATCGGACTGGCGAGCCTTACAGTTCGTCCCCCTGCACTTGAAGTGCAACCTGCAAATTGTCAATGCTGCAGTGAAGCAAGATCCCAGAGCTTTGCAATATGTCCCCCGAGATGTGCAGATGCGAGTTCTTCTCCCCACATATGAGGAGCTAGACAAGTTGAGCCAGATGCCACAAGCGCCAACCTAAAAATGTGCGCCTGGTGATCATCGATCCATACGCGCTTGCACAGGGAAATTTTCAGAATGTCAATGTCGCGCCAATTGTTCAGCCGTCAGGAAACCGCTGGTTGGTCCTCGTTTGTGAGCCCGAGCCTTAGGACTGGCCTTGACGCAACGTGGCGATCTTTTCAGAGGCCAGCCATGACCTGCAAGTTCCCATGGAGGCTGCGCGCCACTCTGACAGCCCAGATTGAGATTGCCGTTCAGCAGGAGATCGGAAGGTGGCCATCGCGCGTTGGAGGAAGGGCAGAGATGCACGGGGCAAGTCTTTTGCAGAGGAAGAGCCAAGGAAATGTTGCTTTGCTTCTCCCATTCTTTCCATTCTGATGTTTTCTCCTGGCAGGCAGACCATTCTCCGACTCCAAAGGGCAGGTGCATGCCACAGAGCAAAAATGAACCGAAAAGTCATGCAAAGATTGACAGGTTGAAAGAAGTACATTGCTAAAAGAGGCAGCGCACTGTTTTGACTGTTCAACTTGTGACTGGAGTAGAGCATGGCGCTGCAGGTGTCTCAAATCCTGCGCAGCACAGGGCTTTCACAGGCGTGGCAGCTGCTTGCTTCGAACATGTGAGAAGCTAGAACTTGCTAGGATGAGGTGGGGACGATTTTGGCTGAGTTGCCAGGCTGGAGTTTGTGTCTTGTGAGGGTACCGCTTTCAGCTGCGTTTCTTCGGAAGCGAAAAGGAAAACGATAACCACGCTGGCCTTTTGAGAGATGTAAGCTGTAAGCGCCTTCTCGCCAGGGCCCCTGGCCATAGCCAACGCCCAGAGCTACTCCATCCTCCTTAACTTGTTCAGGAAGAGGCGGTGGAACCAGGTTGCTCTGCTAACTGTTGGATCAGTTTGTGCTGTGCTGGTTTGTCAGTTGCCATCAACTGTGCCAAGGTTATCTACCTGTGGCAGTGCATGCAGTCTGCCCGCCTGTCTTTCATGCACAAACATCCCACAGCCACATGCCACGCAACTTGTGTGTAGCAGGATAGTATACTTTATAATATATATATATAAAAACATATATATATATATATGTATATTACCGTATATATCTATATATATATATATGGTATATGTGGATACATTTATGCATACACATGCAAGACTCGTCAGCAAAGAAGCAGCTCGATCAGCTCTCTGCTTTTCTTCGCAACTCTAGCTATCCGCGTCATTTCAAGGCGTTCGGACCCGGTGTTAATCTTTGGAATGGGCTTCTTGGGCTTTGGCTCCCATCCCAATGCCTTCCTGCGCAAATGGGCTCTTGCCAGTTGCGGCCGAGGTGACCCGTGGCGCATGTTGTTTTGAAGTGGCCGATGTGCTTCCCTATTCCCCCCACGCCCCGACTTCCGCGCCGAATGTCTGAAGACGTGCGCAGATCCCACTCGCACGTTGGTTTCACAGCACTACGAAAGGCCTGCTGCGAAGCTATTACCCCCCGCTCGGCTGCGCCGCACCTTGGGTATTGCTAAGGGTAAGCGACAATGCCGAAATTCTGCGCCGTGGAGCGCCGCACACAATACTTTCAGGGGAAGCTGAAACAAACACAATACTTTATGTATATATATATACATATATACATGGTATACACGTACGTATATGTGTTAAACATATATATATATATATATATATGTATATATACACACATGTGCAGTGGAGAGAGAGATTTCTGAGAAAATGCTTACACAAATGCGAAGATAGTGACGATAAATAGTAGTAACGGTATAGGAATCACAATAACAATCATAACAATGATAAATTGTGTATATCTACTGTTTGTGTTTGTTGGTGAAACTGGCGGTAGTCCTGATTTTGTCGGTGTGCGTGGGGGTCTAGCCGCTCAAGGGCAAAACGTGACGAAGCATTAAGAATTGTGAGTGCCTTCTTTATTGAATCTGGCAGCCTGCAGCCACCCAGCTCCAACTGCTTCCCAACAATCACAGGTTGTCACCATGACGAGGATAAAGCATTTTGCCAGCCAGCTTACTGGTCACTGATTACCTACCTTGGCTACGCCATTAGAGTGATACCACCACCAGCACAAAACAGCGCCTTGACTTGATTGACTTGGATTCACGCTCTTTCAATTGAATTCACATGCCTGCGCTTGAAGGTCAGTGATGAATACTGTATTACATTGAAGATGATGCAAGCTCCGGTTTGCATGTGGACCGAATAAGGACTTGTTGCTTCAGGCTCATGGATGAATTGCACACAGCTGTTGCCATCCTGGCATCCACGCATGTATGGTTCTCTCATTGCTGACAAGTCCCCTCGCTAGAATTGATATCGTTAAGTTGCCTTGCCACCTTGAGCGGCACTACTTAGTAGTACTGCGGAACGTCTACTTGATTGCAGAAGAAGCCTTTGCCGATGCACAGTTCATTGCCAGGCACAATGGGATCAAAACCAACAGCCAGACGTCTGGACTTGCTGCAGAGCCTTTTTCCCAGAAAAGAACCAAGAGACCTACGAAGCCGCGTTTGCGTCAGGTCCTTTCTACGAAGCCGCTCCTGGCATGCCTCGCTGGCCGCGCCGCTTGACACTTGCCGAAACGACGCTGATGGAAGACAGAAACTCAGGTGGTCATCAACAACATGCGCGACAAGAGGTTGCCTTTGAAGAAGGCTGGTGAGCACAGGACGGAAATGTGGAGGTTTATGAAATGTCCAGGAAGCTATGGGGGCGCTGCTCTCGATCAATGCCCGACGCTGGTATCTTAAGGGGAGATCTAAAGGTTCGTGTGAGGTAGGAAGGGGAAGAACATTTGGTGAACTTCGCGGTATTTGTAGGGAACTTCTCATGCATGTAACACTTGGTCCAGGACTCTATGAAAGCTGCACAGCTTTGCAGAATATGTTTGTGTACCGGGCACAAAATTCACCCAGGCTGTGCCAGGATACGCGGTGCTTGGCACCCACATGATACGTTTGATTTGTATGAATCACCGAACCAACATAAAATTCAGCTAGAATAGCAATGTCATTTGGCACAAGATCCGCGAGCGGTTGGTAAGAGTCCATAAATCTTACTGCAGCTTCCGCGCATGAGTTGTGTAGTAACCTTTCTGCCAGCTTCCGTACTTGTCGTGCTACGGTCGTACTGCAAAGCTGCCACTTGTTAGTACACTTCTACTGAAAAGCGCGAGTTTCGAGCTGCCAGTACGCTTGTACTGAGAAGTTGGGATGCTCCAGCTGAAGCTGCCTGCGCTAAAAGTTTCGTTTTCGAGCTGGAGCTTCCGATGACTGACCTCTCTGACCCTGGCAAGGGGTGCCTTTTGTTAGCACGAGTTCCCCAATGGAATTACACAGACTTTGCCAGGTGACGAGGTGTGTGTGTGTGTGTGGGTCTGCGGGTGTGCGGGTGTGTGGGTGTGTGGGTGTGTGGGTGTGCGGGTGCGGGTGCGGGTGCCAGGCGTGCACGCACGCGTGTGCGTGTGTGCGTGTGTGCGTGTGTGCGTGCGTGCGCGTGTGCGCGCGTGCGTGCGTGCGTGCGTGGGCGCGTGCGTGCGTGCGTGCGTGCGTGCGTGCGTGCGGGCGCAGTGCGTGGGCGCGTGCGGGCGCAGGGGGCGGGCGGGCGCGGGCGGCGTGCGTGCGGGCGTGGACGCCACGGCGGGTTTATGATCGCCATGGATGCGATGCACGGGTCCAGCGGACGCATTTATCACTAATTGAATGGATTGTTGTGCGCAGTCAGATGGACGGTCGGGACGTGGATTGACGCATATCACGACGTTACTGACGCCACGACGGATTGTCATCGGGAATGGACGTCGCATCGACGACGCTGGCAGCATTGACATCGGACGCACGCGTCTGACAATCACGCGATGGTCATCGACATCAACATCACTGGCGGTCGGCGCCCCGGATCACGAGGTGTCAGATCTTAAGCCCCTTCCCCATGGGATTTGCCACTGGGCTTCGGTGCCCAAACGCCCCGTGCCACCGTGCGCTGCGCAGCTCGTGTGGGATCTCATAACGCGCATGACACCTATGGCGTGCGTCGCGTATCAAGGTGGCGATCACAGGTCGTATGCGCGCAGGCGCGCTGGTTATGGCACGTGTAATGGGACAGGGATGTATCATGGCGCTGGTGATTACAGGCAATCATATGGCACACTGGATCACGTCGCCGTAATAACATGGACAACCGTATGCGCTTATCAAATACAGGTACACGTAATATGGACGTACAGGCAAATACCCGACGATATGGCGCGGACGCTGCCGGCGTCATCATCAACGCTGACTGCATATGACCATATGGTGGTGACCGTGGCGCACATCACGCCGCGGTGAAACGCGTGGTAACGTGGCGCATGGTCGCACGCGGATCATGGCATCACAAGGCGTAACGCCGCATGCCGCAAGCGTAACGGTGTGGGAACGCATGTTAATGCAAATGTGCACATGTGCGCGACAGTTCAGCAGGTATCAAACAGCTGACGTGAGCAAGGTGGACAACACAGGTGGGCGGTGTGGCACAGTGCGTGTGTGGGCACCATATGGTGTGTACGTGCAGTCACAGTATAACACAGGCATAATGTCAAGGCATATGGACAACACAGCGTGTATCATGTAATGGTAAACAGGTGGTGCAGACAGTAATGTGGCATGGTCATCAGAAAAGAGAGAGATGGCACAACAAGTATCATGTATGTCATAGACTGTCATGAGACACAGGTGTCACAGGTATTCGCTATATCTGCCAGCAGATTACAGGTGACATAGACAACAGGTATCATGGTACTGGACAATATCATCATGAGGTACAATACAGGTAACGAGGTACACCAGGTGGCACATAGCAGGTACAAATAAGGCCGTTGGTACAACATGAGCAGGTACAACAAATACAGGTAGCAACAAATAATCACAGTGTATGATTGAATAGCGGTATGAAGGCATTAAGCAGGTGCACAACATCAGGTACAACATTATATAGCCACCACTGGTAACACAGGTAATAACAATACGTACAATACAGGTACAATACTGTGGCAGGTGGTAACTGGGCATGGTAACAACACAGGCAATAACAAATACAGGTAATAACAATACAGGTACAACATCACAGGTACAACAATACAGGTAAATACAGGGCAAACACTGGGTACAAATACAGTACTGAAAGTTGACTTAAAGGTTTTTGGCTCGCTTTTCATCAAGCAGGCATGATCAACAGCAGGTACGTCATCATGCACAACAATACAGGCATGCCATACAGTACAACAACCATGGCACAAGGTACAAGGTGGCTGCAAGGTACAATGTACGTACACAAGGTACACTAAGGTGTGTGGATGTGTGTGTACACGTGTGTACAATATGGCAGGTACAAAATACAGGTATAACATGGCAGGCCACAGGTGTCATATAGTGTACAAATACATGGTGCAGGTTATTATAAGATCAATACAGGTACATCAATACAGGTATGGCGTAAGGTCACAGTGTGGTGTGGTGGTGGTAAGGGGGCTGCCAGGTACAAAAGTGTGGCAGGTGTCACAGGTGTGTACAGGTGGGCAGGTGTCACGCAGTGTATTACAGGTGGTGGGCAGGTAGCCAAGCAGGTGTGGTAGTACAAGCAGGTGGTAGCAGAATACAGGTGGTACGTGGATCACAGATGCGACATCACAGGTAATAAATACGCAAACAGCAGGTGGTAATGTGAGCAGGCAGGCCGAGGTGGCGGAAGCAGGTGGTGGTACAGGCCACAGGACGGTCAGGCTGGGCGCAGGCCAGTAGGCTGCAAGTGTGCGGCGTGGGCAGGTGGCAGGTAACAGGTACAGCAGGTGGTACAAGAGCAGGTGCATGTGCGTGGTACAGAGAAGGCGTGCGTACGTGGTTGTGTGGTTACATACATGTTTACTACATACAGATACATGATACATACAGACAAGACAAGCATACATAAGAAGGCATACGTGTGTACATACAAGTTTACATGCAGGCTGGAGGTACGCAGGTCGCAGGCTGCGATGGGTGTCACAGGTACAGGCAGGTGGTAATGGTGGTGGGGTTGAAGCATACATACATACATACACATACATACACATACATGGGCATGTGCAGGTGGTCAAGCAGGTGGCCGGGCGCAGGTAAGGCTGCAGGTGTTTAGGGCACAACAGGTGGGCGTGTGTGTGGGCGTGTGTGTGGGCGTGTGTGTGGGCGTGTGTGTGGGCGTGTGTGTGGGCGTGTGTGTGGGCGTGTGTGTGTGTGGGCGTGTGTGGGCGTGTGTGGGCGTGTATGCGCGTGCGCGCGTGCGCGCGTGCGCGTGTGCGCGTGTTCGCGTGTGCGCGTGTTCGCGTGCGCGCGTGCGCGCGTGCGTACGTGGTTGTGTGGTTGTTTTTTTTGTTTACTGTTGTTTCGTGTGGTTTGGTTTGTGTTTGTTTGTTTGTGTGTGTGTGTGTTTCGGTGTGTACTGTGTTTGCAACATGACCGGTTGCAGGAATGATTTCACATCGGCCAGTCATGGCCAGTCTATCAAAGTCTCGAGCAATCATGGCAGAAAGCAACTGTTTGAGGCCGCTTGTGGCAGGAAGCATTGGATCAGTTCATCAAGGACACTTCGAATTCTGCAGTTTCCCGCATGCTTGGCTTTTCAGGACGGACCCCATCATCGCTCTCAAAAGAACCGACTCTTCCAAGCTCTGGCGGATGTCGGGCAAGTTTCGGGAATGCTTCTTTGGCTGCATGGTGTTGGCTCAAAATCGGACAACCCCCAAAATGGTTGGTTTCGTTTTGGCTTCCCTTTGACACTAAAGGGGTACCCACACAGCACCCTAGGCAAGCAAACTCAGCTTCCGGAGTGAGAGGCGCCGGCTCAAGAGCTTCCTCTCAGAATTGCACAGGAGAGCCGGAGAGCTCAAAGGCCTTGGCTTTCCTGACGCCTTCCAGGAGTGAGCCGACAGACTACCAAGACATGGCAGAAGCCTGTGCAAGAGCACGTGAATGGCAGGCGAGTGGTTACTTGCATGACAATCTGATTGAGTGCCAGCCAGGACGCAATAGATGTCATGCAGGACAGCGGTTAGAGTTTGGCGCCCATTCAATAGTTCGACACAGCTTGCCAGGACGTTCGAGTCTGTGCCTTTTGCTTGTGACTTCTAATGCAGATACAGTCACGGCTGTTCAGGGCGACTCTTTGCAGCCGAGTACGCATTTGCTGGAGAAAGTCTGCGACCTAGTCATGCCTGACGACTTGAATTATTCAATCTATAACACACAAAATGGCAGGCCCCAAAGAACCTAGGGCTTCCGCCTCGTAGATGCGGTAATTTGAAACAAATGCAAAAACGGGGAAAATAAACTTGTTGCGCTTGTTCTTTGTTTACTTCTCCCCAGCAAAAGTATATACGTCAGACAAGTCATAAATTTTGACCCATGAAAAGTAAAAGAAACTCAGAAAAAGCTCTATGTGTGTGTGTGTGTGTTTACTGCTGGCTGTTCCCCTGTATTTGTTTGCTTCTTGCAGTCGTGTTTACCTCCTCCCTGTAGAGGTATAAGAAATGAACCTTGTTTTATTTCAGGCTGTTTTGCAGTTTACGTTTCATGGGTTTAGCTGTGTTATGCTGTTATTTCCGTGTGTCCGATTTCCCCGAGTAAAAGTGAAAAAAGGTAGCACTGTCAGAAGTAAACACAATCTACGGTGGGCTACTGTGCGTTTTAATTACTCTTTTCAAGGGTTTGAGCTAGTTGCTTGTTGTTGTTTTGACTTTTCATAAGAAGCTCTCTCTAGCCACAATTTTAAAGAAGGAAGGCCTTGTAATTCTGTAAGCATGCAGTGATTGGCAACTAGAGGCATCATTGTTTGAATTCCGAATGATGAGAAGTAGCCGAAAGACTACGGGAAGAATCCGGGAAGACTCCAAGAAGACTACGAGAGGACTGCAGGAAGACCACGGGAAGAAACTACCAAAGTACAAAAACACCTACACAACGAAGGCTAGTCTTGAAAACGTCATAGATATTCCAGTTTGGCACAGAAGAGGATTAGCGGCGGCTCATTTTCCCAAAAGCACTGTTTTAGAACAAGGTGGATGTTCAAGCACACCATGTTGACCTGCGGGTATTTACAGTATTCGATTTCACGGCTTTGAAATTGACAACTGGACAGCATGCACAGCAGATCCAGGTCATGGCGTCCACGAAGTTCGCCACACGCTGGCGAGAGGCGAGAGGCCCTCACTCAGTGAGAGGAGAAATCTAACTCGACATGAGGCGTGCTTGCTGATGACGGATCTGGTCTTCTTGCAAGTTGGTGTTAGCCACGCTCTCAGGGCAGGCTGTGGCCAGTTCGGAAGTGGACATGACGCATTGCACGTCCGTTGTGTAGTGGCTTAAAGACAACAAATGATGCAATGAAATCTTCTTCCTGTTGCATTCTCAGTGTTGCAGCAGCAGTTTGAGCAGGGCTATGCAACAAATCCCAGGATTGTTGCGATGATAGTTATGCAAGCAACGTTTACATGCGAGAAGAGGCAGCACTCTTTCATCACAGAACGCCAGTCAGATGGCAACGAGTTAGAATGAGTAGCAGCTCCGATTCTGATGAATCCGTGAAGGAGTGGTTGGCCCAAGCATCCCTTTGCTGGGGAATGCTTTGAATGCGTTGGGCTGGGAGGACAAGAAAAAGCAAAAGGGTGAAAAAGATGGCAAGCCAAAGAAGTCTAAAGAGGCGATGGGCTGCCAGTGACATCAATTAGTTTGCTTTCTGCAAGGGCAAGAAGTCTAAGAAGGAGGCAAAGAAGGCGAAAAAGTTAGCCAAACAGATCAAGAAGCTTGAGGAAGAGGTGCAACGCCGCAAGCGACAGATGAACGGTGAGGTTCAGGAGACACTTACGACATGTCAACGCATCCCCAGGAGTTGGGGGGGGGGTCTGATGGAATTCCAGTGGGGAATACTGAAAACATGGAACTGAGATGTAGCCCAATGGAATCCCAATCCAATCACCACCGCAAAGAGGAGAAGAAAAAGAAGAAGAAAAAGTCATCGTCGTCCAGTACATCTGCCGCTGCAAAGAAGCAGAAAAAAGGAGCGCCTGTCATGCCGTTGCAAGCAGACGTGTGGAAGAATCTTTGACAAACTGCGATTTCTCAGAGCAGAGATGCGGTTGTTGCGGAGGCGAAGCTATCCCTCCGCCTGATTCTGTGGCTGCTGAAGGTGTGTTTGACATGCAGAACCAGGCAAGGCATTGAAGCCGACCTGGCGGCCCTTGCTTGGCAGGGTTGACAAGGCTTAGCCCAGGTGTGAAGTTGGCGCACAGCGGTGAATCCCTTTTCAGGACTCCTGCAAGCCGCTGGCGCTTAGACCATGCCCTCAGTGTGGGCAGGCCAGATGCGGGAAAAAATGTTGGAGGTGGCTCCATCTGAGAACCTTGTTTTTGTAGGCAAGCTAAAAAACATCGGCATTGTTTGGATGGGCCTCCAATTGCGAGACAGGCTCAGTCAGTCAAGGTCTTGGCTAAGCAAACTGCAACGCCCACATGTGAGGAGATGCAGTGGAGCAACCTGGACGAAGGTGCATATACAGAGGCGGCCAGGGCGTTTGACGTGATTTAACTTGCGGGTGACATGTTTGAGAGATGAAACACACTAGACATATGTAGTAACCATAGCGACGGCTCCCTCCTGAAGCTTTCTGCAGGACTGGCTTTGTGACAACATCGAATCCTGTGGCAGTTCCGGGACCCGCAGTCGAACCCGATGGCGATGGAACTGTGCAACATGTACCCGCGACTTCTGCCGACAATGCAAAGGCGTCCCGGACGACTGGTCGGAGTCAGAGCCGAGTCGAAGCCCAACCTCAGAATCCGATTCGAACCCAGAGCAGCATGACGCCGTTTGCCACAATTGCAACATGAGCCCGATAGTTGGACCGCGATTTAAGTGCTCGACTTGCGAAGATGTGAGTCTTTGCCGGCCGTGTTACAAGAGGCGCTTGGAGATTCATGCGAAGGAGCATCGCTTTTTTGCAATGAAGGCCATGCCAGTGACAGCGGCCATGAAGCAGGAGTTGCAAAGAAAGTCTAAAGCAAAGGCATCCGAAAATCCTGCCAAAGGCCCGCCAGCAGGTGCGAAATCAGAGAAACCATCCCGGTCAGCCCAGTTGGCCCAGCCAGCCCAGCCGAAGCAGGCTGTACCGCTTGCACCCATGATGATGCAGCAGATGATGATGCCGCAAATGTTTATGCAGCTCATGCAGCAGGGGCAAATGTCTATGCCAGGGCCGATGGCTATGCCGGGCCAGATGAGCATGCCGGGGCAGATGAACATGCCGGGGCAAATGAACATGCCGGGGCAGATGACCATGCCGGGGCAGATGACCATGCCGGGGCAGATGACCATACCGGGGCAGATGCAAATGCCCGGGCAGATGACGATGCCCGGGCAGATGACCATGCCAGGGCAGATGACGATGCCTGCACAGGAACCGCAGATGCCAGTGCAAGCCAAGGATGCTCCTGAAGTAGCATCGCAAATGCAGGAACGGTGGCAGAACATTGGCAAGGACTACACGCCGCTTGCTTGAAAGCTGCTGAAGATTGAGCATGTGTTCCCGACTTCCACAAGCAAATGGAAATGAACATTGGTTGAAAAGTGTTGCCGAGTCCCTGCCATGAACATGAAGCCGCGCTGCCACGCTGGACCCCTTGTCAAGATCCCAGGAAAGTCTGGCAAGACCCCAAAGCTCCATCTACGGAATCCAAGAAAGTCAAGGATGTCGCCAAAGTGCCATGGTTGCAAGACAGGCGTGCTGACGTGCTGGATCTAGTTGAAGAGAAGCGCTTGTTTGCGGATTCCTTTGGCAAGGCCGAAGACAAAGCAGCGCCAGTTGGCAAGCAACTTCTTCGCGGCGGCATTTGTGGGCTTTGCCTTCAGCAAGTTCTGGATTCAGCGCCATGCTTGGTAGATCCAGGGAGGTCCATTCCAGCCTTTGCTTGGCCATATGTGCAAACTGTGTTCCAAGGCCAGCGGTGTGATTTGCGCCTACACGCGGCCAGATGGTTCGCATGCAGGCTGCACATGCGTGTGAGTGGCCACGTGTGGTAAGCAATTGTATTGAGATGCAGCCTTGGCAGCCAGGTTGTGGAAAAGGAGTCTGCTTTCCCTGCATGCTCCGCGCGTCGTCCATGATGTTTGGAAAAGTGGAGCACTGAGTGAGTGCGTCGATCATGAGGAGTTACTTGTGCATGCGAGCCTTGCGTGCTGCCTGTTGAGGTCCGGGTTACCAAAGAGATGTGGGTCGCGCTTGGAGAACGTGCGTGGTGGATGCATGAGCGATGTATGAACGACAGTGATTTGTTGGAGCACGATGAGCTGGTGAAGTCCGCAGCTGAGCACATTGAAGTTCTGTTCAATCATCGCTCCTTTCACAAGCCAACCATTTCCCCGAGCCTTCGGTCCTTCGGTGCCCTATGCTCGGCTGAACACTAGAGCGATGTCTCGGATGTCGTTGGTTTTCCTGAGGTCCTCCGGCTTTCAGGCTGAGCTGGAAAAGGCCACCGCCAAACTGCCAGCGGGCTGGACGAGGAAGGTGTCGCACACCACAGGGAAGATCTACTTTGTCAATGCGGCTTGGATTTACCAGAAACCCTTCGCTTCTGAAAGCGCATGGGTTCGTCTCAAAACAGGGGAACCCTACAAAATGGCTGGTTTCCCTTTGGTGTCCCTTCAAACCCACCCAAAAAGGGCAAATATGAATTGTCAATGTCACCTCGAGGAAAGTCGTGGCTTCTCCTCCCAGTGCAATGCATGTTTTCAGAGCCGCTCAGTGGTTCAGCAATGTTACATGGGGGTGTGTTTGAGGGTACCCTGTTCAGGTTGGTCTAGCGGGAAACCAAAAGGAACGGGTCCCCATTTTGAGACGCTCTCGGGGAGAGCTGAGGCAAAGCTGGGCAAAACCCAATGGGATCTGCCAGAGCCGGAAGCTGATGTGGCGAAGCCTGAGGCGCGTGTGCCTGCCTCATGGGAATCCTTTCGGATGTGATCCAAATACTGGAATCATCTGGAATCCAGCAAGTCGAGTCAGTCTATGGCTTGAACACGGACGCAAAAGCAAAATACACAAACAAGCAAACAAAAGAAACCACAAGTAGGCAGGCAAGTAAGCAAGCACGAAGGCAGTCAGGCAGGCCGGCAGGCAGGCAGGCAAATGAACAAACACGAGCGAGCAAGCAAACAAACAAACAAACAAACACACACACACACACACACAATGTAAGTCGGTGAGGGGTTCAACTGTTGGACTAAGATAGGTTGCATACGGTGTATTCACGCACGGTTTCCATTGTCTCAGGCTGAAGAATCTGGAGAAAAGGAGCCTGAAGATCCAGAAGCTTTGGTTGAGCTCTGATTGCGCAACTCTTCACATTGGACTTTGAGTTCTGCCGCAACAGCTGGCGAAGGGTTGGCCGGGACTGACTCCAAAGTTGAGTCATTGAGCACAAGGCGGAGGCGGCTCCGCATGCCGACTGTCGGACAGTTGTGAACGCGGATGCCGGGCCGGGCAGAGGAAAGAGTGTTTTGAGAAAGAAAATATGCTTAAGCCCCCTTTTGGCTCTTTCAGAGTTTTGAGGCATGCTAAGTGTTTGCCGTTTGGTGACTTTCTCTTAGGTGTGCAGCTTTACAGTGAAGCCATTGAATCCTGCAGCCCGGTGCTCAACTTGTTGCGCTGTGTCTTTGCCTCTGAGTTCCTAAGGCCGAGCCGGAAAGATCGATGCAGTGCAGTTCTTCCTCCACACCATGCGAAGGTGCCCTGCGCGAAGCGCCAAGGCACAGGTTGCGAGAGAGATGAGTCCAGGAAAGGCTGCTGGCCCACCGAGCGCACCTTCAACTTGGCCTTGCTGGCCTGTGACAGGTGAGGCGTCCCGTGTATTCAGTTGCAGGTTCTTTGCTTGAGGTCAGGCCAATGGCTTCTGGCAATGGCGCTTTTGCGAGAGATGAGGCGCAGAACTGGGCAAAGCACTCAAGGCTTTCCTGCGAAGCACAGGATGGCGATGCGCGACCCCGATGTCATCTCTTGGACCACCTGCATTTCAGGAATGGAGAAGGAGACGTTCCGCCGAGTCCGAAAATCAGGGAGGTCAAGGAAAAAGGTTGCCAACATGATTTTTCAAAATGCGGGGGGGGGGGGCTTTGCTCTGGACGCCTTTGTGACCTCTCCAGACCGAAATCTAAAATCGGACCCTCGAAATCCACGTTGTTCCTGCTTCCTAAGCGACCTCAAAAAGGGTCCCCCTGAAGAAAACACGACCTACGAGGCGCGGGTTTGGAGACACGCTGTGAAGCTGCTGGAGCAGATGCCCGCAACTCTGCCCGGCAGCTCGATGTCTGCTTTGTTTGACGTGGATGGATTGAGGTCCTTCGGAGTGCCCTTTTATTGAATTGATGGTTGGTTCGGGATGGTTCGGGGCAGCTGCGGAAGGTACCTCGCCCCCAAACCGACTGAAGGTGGGGTGAGGTGAGGGATGGATGCGGCTTTCCCGCCAGGGCTTCAACCATGTGCAAGTGATGAGCTGTGAAAGGGATGTGATCTGCAGTTCTGACGCCCGAGAGAGGGGGATTATCGTGCATCGGCTTGTGAGTTGCCGTTTCATGTTTCCCCCCCCCCCCACTTCCAGGTTGCAGACAGATGCCATAGCCATCAGCGCTGCCATGAAAGTGTGTGAGAAGGCGGGCCACAAAATCATTCTGGATTTGCTAACAATTACAGGTAGTTTCTGGTTCATTGGGGACAGGAGGGACTCACTCCATTTCCGATAACCAGGGGACACGAATTGTCCCGTCCTCTTGGGGAAATAGGTATTGTTGAGCGTGGCTCGTATGCTCGGTTGAGTTTGGTGGTGCTGGCACCTACCAAGCGCAAAGACCCCCAGACCATGTGGCATATCTAGCTGAGTGTGAGTATGGTCATGAAGCGCTTGGAAAGCAGAATGACCAGAAGGCTTTTGATGCAGGAAGCCATCAAGCAAGGAGTTCTATCCATGGCTCACAAATGGGCTCAAGCCTCCAGCTTTCCATTGCCATGAGCCCTTCTTTGCGCGCATGGCGGTGGCAAGGAATGCGCGCAACTTGACTCATGAGAAATGCCCACACCTTTCGCCACTGAAGTGGGTCCTACAGTTGGCCACTGAAGTGAGAAAATAGGGGGCCTCTGAAAGTGGATGGGTTTTGCTTTCGCTTCAAGCCGACCAGCAAAGGGTACCAACCCGTGCATGTTCATGGAGTAAGCAGGGTATGTCAACCGACAAGAAGAAACCTCAGTCAATGCTGGCAAGGCACACCAAAAGGACCAGAACAGAGACCGAGAGGAGGCGCGACGTAGTGCAGTGGGGTTTGACAGCATGTGCAACACCCTGAGGATCCCGAGTGTCAAAGGGCGGAGTCCGAGTGAAGTCAAAAACTGGCACAGGCAGGCTGCAACTGACGGCTCGCCATGAAGGGCCATGCAACTAGAGCTTTGAACAGGAGTCACCAGTGCCCATGAGGTCATGGAAGTGACATTTCTGAGATCATGGCCCTTGGACCCAAGGCATTCCCCGAGGAGTGAGCAGTGTGTGAGAGAGAGTGTGTGTGTGAGCGGTGCGAGTGTTGTTTTTTCTTGCGCTGAAGGAGATCTTGCCAGTCCTCGAGCGACATGCAGGCTCACTGTCGCGATTTGGTCGAGGCGTTTCTGCGAAAGCGCCGAGGCGCTTGGGCTGCCAGGCCAGAATGGGCGACAAACCTGCCCGGAGCTTAACTAGCTGGTGCGCGCACTTCCGGGTGAAATACTTTTGGGTGTGTGTGTGTGTGAGTGTTTGAGCTGCAATCTCAATGACTTCTGAAATGCGTTCCACAGACCTTTCAGTGGCATGAGGTTGCAAACCTTGATCGATGTGGGGCGAAGCCGTGTCGCCATGCTCGTTCTGAACTATATGCACGGCAAGGGCATTGTCAAAACAGTTCACTGCAACACGCTACTAAGTGCTATGGAGGACGTTGTGCAGGGGATTTAGGGATAAGCGTGCAAAGCGAGAGGGATAAATCAGATACGGACCTGCGTACTAAAATTTACAGTTGCATTGTGGGTCTGCTTCTGAGTGACAAGTTGCCGAGTTCAACCATGTCACACCTGCCCGTCAAAACTAGAGCTGTTGGGCTGGTGGTTTTAAAGCCGAACCAAAGCCTTGCCATGTCAAGTTGATTCCTACTTCTTTGCACACGCATAAGGGTGTGTGGGTTTGGATGAGGGTAGGCTTTCCAGGATTCGTTTAAAGGACAGCAAACTGAAAGCACCATTGTGGGAGTCTTCTATGTTGGCACATACCCTATTATCCATGTAATTGAATGATGAGATTCCCATTTGCCAGGAAGGCTCCTCTGAGGCAGCCCTGCGGTGGCTAGATTGGATGGGCAAAGCACAGCTTCAGCCGGATGCGATCTCGTACAATGCTGTGTTGAAGCACAGCCGAAACGCCATGGAATGGCAGCAGGCGCTGCAAATACTGCAAGACATGCAGCAAGCCACGGTTGCCACAAACATCAACAGCCTAAATACTGTGATAGATGCTTGCATTCAATGCGACAAGCAGGAGCTTGGCTTGCAGCTTGCGACGTCTCTTCATGAATGGGATCTGCAACCCGACGAAGTGACTTGCTCGTCCATTCTTCAAGCATTTCAGGAGGAGGGGAGATGGCAACAGGCTTGCAGCTTGCTTCACGGAATGCCTGAGCTGACTCTGAAACCAAACGAGTTCTGCTTTGCCAATGCGATGACCTCTTGTACAAACTCTGGGGAATGGGAGCAGGCTTTGTATTTGTTTAAGAGCATACAGGATCACGACTTGCACCCTGATGTCGTTTGTTACAATGCAGCGATTGGTGCCTGCAGGGAGACAGGGCATTGGGATTCTGCTCTGGGTTTGCTTAACAAGATGGTTCAAGCGCAAGTGTACCCCAACCGGATCAGCTTCGCAAGCACGCTCGGCAGTCTGAACACAGAGTGGGCGACGGCACTTGATCTTCTCTCACTGATGACGTCCATGACTATGCCTCCAAACAGAGTGCACTGGAATGCTGCAATGAACACGTGTGTTTCGTCGCAGTGGCAACGAGCGCTGATGCTTTTTGATACGATGTTGCAAATGGATATTCCGCCTAGCACTGATACCTTGGGAGTAACAATGTGTGCCTTTGCAAGTGCGGGGCACTGGCAGAGAGCATTGCTTCTATTTCGAGACTTTCCTAAGTGGCAATTGCTGCCGGACCTGCGGAGTTACAACACTATCCTGGACGCTTTGCGAGATGTTGATTACGGTGCAGAAATGTGGCGGGAAGCTGTGTTGCACAATGTGTATCCGCAACTTCTCCGAGAAGGACGGGTATGTTTGAGAGAGGTGCCGCCTTGAGAGGTTCAGACTCCGTAAATTTGGGTGTGGAGCATATTCCTTAGCTGAGTTGCTTGCAGCTGCCTGCTGCAAGGCAACTCTGGTTGAAAGGAGAAATCGGTTTTGTAATACGAGATAGCCACCTAGCCCACCAAGTAGCGTTGTGACTGTGTCAGTTGAGCGAACACAGTGAGATGAGACGGACAGTGAAGCGCCTTGTCCGTCTCTGCTGCTGCTGCTGCTGCTGCTGCTGCTGCTGCTGCTGCGGCTGCTGCTGCTGCTTCTTCTGCTGCTGCTGCTGGTGTTGCTGCTGGTGTTGTTGCTATTGTGGTTTCACAATATGTCTGAAAGGTCGCCACATACTGGATTTGCACGATCTATCTCGCGGTGCTGCACTTCTGGCAGTGCGCTGGTGGACGGGTGAGGCGATCAAACAGAGTTCAGCCTAACTGCCAAAGCCTTGTGCCACCTTGAACCCCGGATGTTGATCAATGGTACTATGGTTCTTTGGTGATCCCAGGGGTTGAGGGGCTGTGCGTTGTTTTGAGGATGTGCGGTTCGTTGTTTAGGTTATCCCAAGCCGCCTTCGCCCTGAGTCCAAGTCCACTCGCCCTAAACCTACAGCTCAATGAAATAATCCTAAACAAACCCTACAAAATCGTACAAGACTCGCAAAAGACTCCCAACATTCACCCTTAACCATACCTTAATCAACCTAAACCCATACCAATCCTAAGCCAACCTTACATGAACCCTAAACCAACCCCAAATCTGCTTGGAAGCAATCCTAAGCCTACTTCACCAAGCTAAGTCCATGGATATTCAATCCAAGCCATCCCTAAACCAATCCTCAACACATCCCAAAACAACCCTAGGTCCTATGAGACCTGCAGAGCCCTGGGGTTCGCGCGCGACTTGACATGAGTCCTGAAGGAGTTGCCACGCGAGTTGGTTGTCCTGACACAAAGCCTGAGAAAGGTTCAACAACCAAAAAGGAGATTCGGCAGCTCAGTAACTGTGGTAATCCGAAAGTGTTTCAAAGATTTACTCGTTCAGAACCCATGATGCCGCTAGGTTGTGCCCGAGCTGCTAGAGTCTGCTCCAGCACCGTACTACCTCATCATCACGGGACGCTTGAAGGCCATGTCGTTAATGCTTCAGAAGGGGGCTCTTGAAATTGAAAGGCAGTTTTGGTCACATCTTATGTCAATGCGCTCCCCTATTGCGCGTGTATGGAAGGGTGTAAGCTTGCCTTGCAACATGCATTGACCGGAGACCGCCACAGCCGCGTATTTCGGGCCGGCGGTCATTGTGTTTTATGCGCTCAGGGGAAGAGAGGGGAGCCAGTGATCCGACAAGCGGTGACAAAGTTCTTGGCCTGGCCCTCAGAGTTTCAGGGAGTTGGGATTCCTTGTAGGGGCTAGAAGCGCATCCCCAGAAATTTTGTGCAAAGAGTTCTACGGATGTTCAAGGGATGCGTCTCGAGAGCTGAAGCGCCTGCCTTCCCAGGACGACGTTGGAGTGCGATTCAGGGCCACGGGGCGTGGGCGCGGCAAGAACCTCAAAGAGTTGTTGCCGCAGGACGCTGCAAATGCCTGACCTCCGGAGTCTTGTCAGGTGTTTCTGTAAAGGCCGTTGCGCAAGAAAACCTCGTGTTCTGCTTTGAGTTGATCAGAGATCGAACCCAATCACTGCTTGTCGGAAATGTGGAGCCGGGCGTTCAGCATAGCCAGGATGTGGGAGCATTCTCCCTAATCAAAAAGGCTCTCTCTGGCGATGACCTGCGGAGGCTCAGAGCCCGAGCGCTTGAATTCAATTGCCAGTGGGTGTTGCCCAAAATGATGGACCTCAAAGCTTTTGGCTGGTCTTTAAAGGGAAACTATGCAGAAAGCCCGCAAAGCCGTCATTTTTGGGCTCCCCCTATTTTGACATACGCAAGTCAGAGTGCAAGTTCGGAAAGGTTTCGCGCTTCCTTTCAGCACGAAAACGGGTCAGAATTTGACAGCTTGCTCTCGTCACTGTCAGGCGTGCCAACTTTCCAGCCTCAGCACAGAGCTACGCCGCATCGGAGTCAAAAATGGGGTTGAGCTACATTCAGAGAGGGCGGAGCATGCTATGCAGAACGTTTGGGCGAGAATGAAGGGCACCGCATTCGGGGAGGCTTTAGAGTGGAAGCTTCCTCTACACCTCGCCATGGGCACAGGTATCCAGCCAGGGCCCAAGCATCCAATTCGAGCCAAGTTGAGCAAATATGGAATCCAAGAGCTTAAGCCCAGGCCCCGTATTTGTGCCACCCTGCCTCACAGCCAGAGGGAAATTGTTCCTGAACCAGCGTGAATGAAGCTTTGCGAGTTTTTGCAGTGATGTTTCAGGCCCGACACTATTGCATGCAGCTCTGTGATCCGAGCGTTGCAGGAGGCCAAGACAAGTCTGAGAGCCAACCCTTTGCCACAATGTCAGGGGATGCGGTGGAAAGCAAGTTGCGACTTCCTTGAGGATGTGAAGCAGACTGATCCTCAGCTTTGGTCAAGTCTTTTTGGCTTAACTTGGACAGCAAATTTGAGTCGGAAAGTGAGGCAGAGCTTTCCGCGAGATATCAAAGCATACAATGCGGCAGCATCGTCTTTGGAGAAGGCGCTCGCGTGTGCAACACGCACTTGTTGCATAATTTATCATGCAGGTCAGTCGTTGGGAGAAGGCGCATGGATCTTGGCTCATGATATGAAGCTGAAGAGTCCTTCGCGAAGACTGCCGAGGCTGGCAGCCGTACGCTCCATGAAGCAGCAGAGGCGCCTTGGCGTGAGCCCATGTTGATTGTCAGACAGATTCCTGAGGCTGGCTGCAAATGAAGCAACCTGTGGCATAGCGCTTGGCGCCTGTGCAAGTGCGGGCAGCAGCGTCCTCAGATTTGGCAGCTGACTCAGCTCCCCGTTTCTTTTGTCAGACTCGCTTGTGGCCTTCGGGATCCTGCAGCAGATGGTCCAGCAGAGATTGAGGATCCAGTGGATCGGAGTTTGAGAGTCGACTTGCCTTTGCTCATGATCCACTGAAAACGGCTTTCCACGTTAGCATGATGCTTCTCTTGTTTCATTGAATGGGCATTTGGCAGTTGATGGACAGGGCCACAACCGCGTAGGCGTGCGTAGGTATGCTGCAGGTGTACACAAAAATGTTATTTTCGAGTTGAAGCTGCCGAGGTGTACTTTTACTCCACTTGCACTGACAAGTTGCAATCTTGAGCTGGAGCTGCTAACGTGCACTTTGCGCACTACACTTACGTTAGGCTGCAGCTGCCAAAACGTGCTGTCCGTAGTCTAGTCAACTTGGTCTCACGTCGGCGTGTTTCCGGGAGTTGTTGCGTTTGGTGCAGGCGTGGTGTAAACGTGGCGTAAGCAAGTAACCAATGAGGTCCCACACAACAAAAAAGCCAGCCCAAATGGTGGACCCCTTTCAGTTGCCCTTTATAAGTTATAAGGAATCCAAATACGAAACCAACCACGTTAAGGGACCGCTGTTCGAGAAACACGCACACACACACACACACACATATACAGACGCGCTCCGCACCCCTACCAGAGGAGCATCTGGCATAGCCGATCTGGTCGTGCAATAAACAGCCATAGGCCCAAACAAGTTCGTGCAATGGGAGATTGCTGTATGAGGACACGGCTTAAGCGCACGTATGGATGATGCTATCGGCTTCAAAATATAGGACTCCTAGTCTGGAGCGTGCAAATCACAAGTCCTGTGAAGAGTGAGTTCGACCGCTGCGAAACCTTCAACGACCAAGAAAGTATGGAAACGACCCAATGTCGTTTTGGTAAGAGCGCTGGCACCCGCCTCTCACGTGCCCCCACGGTCACTAAGAAAGCTGTGGCGTCGCTTGTGCTTATTTAAGCAAGGCAGGCGCTTATATTGGATTGAATTGCTTTTGCTGAGATGACAATAGCTGAGCCCAGACTTTCTGGCAGGACAACTCCTCAATTTATCGCTTTGGCATTGGAGGAAGGGGGAGTGTACAGCTCAATGTGGAACCGCTGCTCGCAAGTGCTATGAGGCCTGCTGGGAGGAGCCGCAAGCAGCACAGGCTGTGACTTCGATGTCGGAGACTCAGTCCGGCTCAACCTTTCGAGACTCTGACTTTGGTTTTTTGTCCCAACTTCTAGCAAACAGGGGAAGGTTTCTCGACTCGCCCCTCACCCGACCGCTCGCAACTTGTAACTCAAGGCTGGCGAATCTCCGGCTGCAGCTGCCGCACTGGCTGCAGCCGGCCGAAAAGGAGGCACTGGGGTTGCTGTTTTCGTGGCTCGGTTCCAGTTTTGCCTTGGTTAGAGGGGAAAACAGCAGTTTCCCCACTAAATGGATTCCTCTGTTTTGACACGTAGCATTACTGGTACATTGATTCCTGCAGGCCATGGCCGGCGCACGAGAAGCATCTTTGGCAGTGGAGGCGCGCAAAGGCCAGAAGAGGGCAAATTGGATTGACGAGTCCTGGCAGATGCTGGAGCAGAATGACGGCTTGAGCGACCAGACCCGCAGAGTGCTTTGGCAGAAAACTTGGCTCCAGAAAAGCCAGGGGTTTGTTCATGACAAGTCCTTATCGATGTATAGCCGGGTAGTTCTTCACACGAGCACGCAGCAAGCACCGACCTTCCAACTTCCATGAGAGCGATAAAACTTCCAGGAGCTGCCTCACGAGCTCACGGTATCAGTTTCTTGTACATGTAGCACTTGTTGTCTTCATATTGCCTCTAGCGCCCCCGCTACTTCCAGGAGTGCATGCCCCATGAGCGCAAGCGCGCTGAGGCCTTTGGGCGGCGAGCTGCCAGGCCCATCCAGCAGGAACTGCTCGCCTTTGCGGAGCGTTTGGAGCTCAGAGCACGTTGCTGTCGCGCAACTTGTACGCGGCTTGTGCCCCCGTACGTCAGGAGAAGGAGCTGCCGTTTTGGCAAGGCGCTGCCAGCACAATAGATTTGGTGTTGTGAAACTGTCAAATTGCCGCGTGGAACCATTCACAGTGAGCCCGAATGCCATGGTGATGTGAGATGCAAGAGCCGAAGAAGAACTGCCCAATGGTTTTGAAGTGCTAAGATTGTGTTTGAGACTTGAATGCCCAGGGAGCTGGGAAGCCTTGGGGAGCATTTCACGCGGGCTGCTGTCGCAATGCTGGCAGAGGAGTGCTGAGTGCATCTTACATACGGGTCAAACTGAACAGACCAACCAGGGGTGGCCAATTCAAAAGGGCGGGAGACTTCAATTCACAAACTGAGATTCACCGGTTTCCCCATGCGCGGGGATCTGTAATGTTTCACCATGGCGTTCAGTGGGCGAATGGAGAGATCTCATGCAGGAGCGGCAAGCTGCGTGGTTTTGGAGTGCGCGGTCTAGCAGCCATCTTAGCCCTGCCGGGTTTGCCCAAGCAGATCGAAACGCCGTGTGGAGGCAGCCGGTGGCCGCTGAACATTGCTGAAGTGTATGAAGCTCAGTGGGCATTGCCTGCTGATGGCTGGAGTGTGGGTTCCCAGTGGACTAAGGCCCCGTGCCACGAGCGAGACCGTGTCTGCCTGGTCATCTCAATGCCTTGAATGTTCTGGCAGCTGGCAGCACAGGCAGTTTTTGGCAACCTGCTTGTTCGTGCTGCATTGTGGGATGGGATTGTGAGCTTTGCGACCTGCTGAAACCAACAAAATTGTATGGGCATGAGCTTCCTCAGCTTTTGCGGCTTTGGTAGCCTTTGACCTGTAGGGGCGTTGGCATTCAGATCTCAGGGTCCAACATCACTGACCATGCCAGCGTGCCGCTGGGAAAAGGGACTATTTAAGTTCCTGCAGACGTCCAGCATGCAGTAAATGGAAAATGTCCAAGTCATCTCAGCATTCTCCATCCCCACAACCTCCTTCAGGAACCACACGGCCTGATCAACGAGCCATGGAGACTAAAATCAGACAAGCTGCACAGGAGTGGGAGGCGCGGGCTAGTTAACAACCTCTAAAGTGCCCTAGCATACAAGTGATATCCTTTTTGAATCCACCACTTCATGTTCTTTGCCTACTTTGTGCCAGCCTCCGAGGGTGTGGGCGCTCATGTTGGGGAAGTGCGGAGCGGCCTTGAGGCTTTTTCGGGGTGCAAAAATTGCAGGAAGTGTGATGAAGGAATTGACATATTAGATACAATATATATATATATATATATATGTATGTGTTGATGGAACAGCACGAAGAAGAAAGTAGCAAGAACTGTGAAGACTCTGTCCCCGAGGTCCCGGCAAGCTTTGACTGGAGCTCCGAGACCTTCGACAACTACGGAGTCCATGAGAAAAGGATGCATGGACCCTACAAGTATATCCGTGACAGATTGGACTTCGAACATCATGGTTGCTACGATTTAGAGCGGCAAAAGTTCCAGGATACCAGGGTTAGAGGGTTGGGTGATTCAATCCCTCGTTTAAACATGTTCGAAGCCCTATACAAACTCCTGTTGCTTTGCCTACAGCGGCCATGGCAACTGGTTTTAACACTCAGTCTGCGCCTGCAGGATACTATCATTGCACACATCGTTGGCAGTGGACCAAGAGAGCCTCACCCGTGGATCATTTTCACCGCGGGCTCCTTCTTCGCGGGGAAATCCTGGGTGGCCTCATGGCTCTTGGAACAAGGTCACTTACCTTTGCAGGTCGTGCGGACTGATCCTGACCTGATTCGGACGCAACTACCTGAATGGACAGGGTATTTGAAGCGAGATAGTTCACAAGCAGCTGTCATGACGCAAAGGGAAGCCGGGACTTGCGGCCTCATTGCACAATGGGAAGCCATGCGCCAGGGGCGCCACATCTTGGTGGACGGCTCTTTGCGGATACTCGGCACTGCAAAGCTTTCCTGCATTCGTGAAAACCAATTGGGGCAGTGCTTCAACTCGTATTTCATTTGTGAGCACTGTGTTTGCCCATGCTCGGTTGGAGTGGAAGCTTGTTGAGAAATTAGCTTGTGATGGAGTTGTTCAGGAATGCTGCCCGACAGAGAGCATTCTTCGCTGAGATTCGAGCAGCCCATCCAGAGTATAGAATAGCCATTATTCATGTCTTTGCAGATTGGGATGTGATGGAAAGACGCTCATCTACCAAGCGTGAGGGTGGACGTGTAACCAGCCCAAAGGCTTTGCGCACGTCCTTTGACGCAGTGACAAATTCTGTCAGAGAATTGGAGACTGGATCAGACTTGACAGTTCACATCAGCAACAACGACTCTGACTCTTCACCACGGTTGACCGGTATGTCACGAGCAGGCGACAAAATGACTTTGTGCACCTGGGATGAATTCCGGTCTGCCTTTCAGCAACCACCTGGTCCTGTGTGCTCAGTGCTGAAGGCAGTCGTGTTAGTGATGGTGGTTACTGGCGTTGCTTGCTGCCTGCCTCTCGGCACGCTGGCTGCCAAGGTGCAGCAACTGAAATGGTTTCCATTCTTCTAGGCGTGCACTGCACAGCCTTGGCCAGATGATGTTGGAGACCTGGCTTGTGACAATCAAAGTTCTAAAAGTTCTAAACAACGTCTCCAGACATCACATCGCACTCACTCCGAATAATTCTGATGCCAAGAAAGATTCGCAGAGCTCAGAGGGCAACAAATTGTCTCAGAGATTCACAGGCATGTCGGTTGGCAGACGAGTGGAGATTCGGCAAGCCTGGGGTCAGAAGACAAACATGTAGTTGCAGGTGCCGCGGTTCTAGCCATGGCTGTCGAGATCCTGATGAAATTGTTCTCCAGGCTGGGCGACTATGACGTTCCATAGCACACAGACATTCACTCAGGAAGAGGGTGCTCTGTTGCAGCCCATATTTTTCCTTCACGAGCGGGCTGCCTCGGCCTCAGCATTTGATCGATTTCTGTCAAATGTTACTCACAGCAGGAGCATGCCGAACGGCAACTTCTCCTGCGGTTGTTGCAACTTGTAAGATTTCGAGAAAACAAATACTTGAGTAAACACAGAGATTTGGCAAAGTCCGACAGAACCATCCTTTAGAGGGCACATGACCGTGGACAATGCACCGTTTTCAGAAGGCACAACTTACTTTTTGGTGCTCACCTTCGCCGTGGCAACCAGTTAAGAAATATGTGCCCCCCATTGGGCGCAATACCCAGGAAGAAAGCTATAGCGCTATTAGGCACAACCGACGTGCCAGCAGCTTTCCGCAAGGCATGGAAACACTGGCGCTCTTACCAATCTTGCCTAAGAGCCACTAAGCAAAAATAGCAAGTCTTAGGTTACTAAAACAGGATGGGGCGCGAACTATTGCGCTCTACATATTGCTATTGACTCTGTAGAATCATACACTGAGAAAAACTGTGGCTCAGATTTGGGTATGGGACTAGATCCCATGCTCATAGCTTGCAGTTAGATTTTTCTTTACCCGATGTGTATACACAACACGTTTTTGTGCACGCTTTTGACAAAAAAACGTTTTGACAGCATGTGTGGTTTTCCTTTTCTTCCGTGATGAATGGGTGTTGTAATAGATTGATTCTGAATTTCATTTATTAGCGTTTGGGCGAGGTAGATTTTTTAAGATAATTCTGTTTTAAATACGAAAAGCAAATATCTGGTGTAATATATGATTATATATAAAATACAATTATATATGTTTATGTGTTATAGAATTGTTGTAGCCGAATTATTATATTTGTTATGAATTATGGTTTGTGTTTGTTTTGTTATGTTGTGTATATTTTGTGTATTTTTTAAAATGGTTGGTTAAAATATAATTTAGTTAATATTTTTTGGATTTGGTATTTAATAGTTTTTATTAAATTAAATGTATTGTAAAGAATTTTTTTTAAAAATAATAATAATATTAAATTAAATTTGAAAAAAAAATGATTTTAAAAAATATAATTAATAATTTAAATTTATATATTAAATTATATGTATTTTGTTATAAACCAATATGTTGGTTGTATTTGTTATTGTGGATGAAATTAATGGATGTTTTTTAATATTAATATAGTTTATAATATAATAATTTAAATAACAAATGAAATAATATATATTAATTGAAAAATATTTTATAAATTGGTATGTGTTGAAGGTTGTATTTTTTGTTTTGTAATACAAATTGAGTAGTATGTTTTAGTTAAATAAAAGGGTTTATACAAAAAGAGAATTGCATATACTTTGCGAAGGTAATTCTGGTTGGCGGCGTAGGGTCGTATCGGTTTCAACGTGTAGGCTGCTGTGTAATTTCTCGCATAGGCTTTTTACATAAGCGTTTAGTAAACAAATTATGATTTAGTGCTGTTTGTCATTTTCGCATAGATTTTATATGGACTTCGTATAAACCTTTTCTAATAGCTAAATCCTTGCAGAAATATGGGATTCTTACTTATATTGCATTTCTCATAATACAACCGTACCTGCCAAAACTGCGCTTGTACTGAAAAATTGCGATTTTCCAGCTAATCTCTCTTTCTCTCTCTTTTTTCTCTTTCTCTTTCTTTCTCTCTCTTTCTCTCTCTTTCTCTCTCGCTCTCTCTCGCTCTCTCTCGCTCTCTCTCGCTCTCTCTCGCTCTCTCTCGCTCTCTCTCGCTCTCTCTCGCTCTCTCTCGCTCTCTCTCGCTCTCTCTCGCTCTCTCTCGCTCTCTCTCGCTCTCTCTCGCTCTCTCTCGCTCTCTCTCG